CTCGTCTGCTTTTCAGCTTCCATTTTCCTCAGCTTTCTTGCCTGTTTGAAACCCTCATAGGATGCTATGGAGGTACTTTATCTCCCCAGCAAACTTCAAAAACATTTAAGGGAAGTTTGAGACCTCTGGGTTAGACTGTATTACCCCCCAACTCTTCTATTTTGGCAGGTTGGAAAAACAATACGAGTTCCTACAAAAAAATCAGTAACATTTACAGTGAAGTTCTGTCTGTTTCCATTCATGTCTCTTTCCTGTGGTTTCAAAGGTTGTCTCTACCCGTGTAAGGGAAAAACACTGCAGAAAGAAAAGAATTCAACTCAGAAAATAATCTGTAAAAAACATGTGCCATGCACACTGTAATTAAAACACAACACAAACTGTGCCATACACCTCACGTTGCCTAATTTACCTGTGAACAATATAATCAGAAGCTGTAAAATTCCACCGACTTACAGTTTTTGTTGTTTGTGGGCAAGTACGAGAGCTCATACAGTGGAGGTTTCAAAACACTTTCCCTATTTTGAAATGATTGAAATCTTTGATGATTCTACATATAACTCTACAATAACATTCAATTTTCCTGAAGAAATATACAACTTCACAAATCATCTTTAAATGGAGCATATGAAATCCCTCTTGCACAAATCAAGCAGAACCCCAGAGGATGAGCAGAATACTTTACTGTCTTGTTTGCTTGGGCAAACACACAGAAACGGGGGAACCCAGCAGTCTTTGTGTGATCCATTGTGCTCTGAGCTTTACCTGTTTAGCATATCCTGGTGAAAACAAGTGGAGCATGCTCTTTGTTTTGTCTTGTACTTTTTCACCGCTGATGACTAGGCAAGCAGCTCAGCATTGTCTATTGTGCTGCAGCATGTTCACCGACAAAGACATCAGCTTGTGACTCGCTTCTTACTCACTCCTGTAATGAGAGCTCTTCCCCATCTCCTGTTGCACGCACACTGACACAGCCTGCAATACCTTAGAATCAGCTCTGACGGAAGAATTTGTTTGCATGTAGGGTTTAGTTCCTTCATGGAAAGATTTTGTGTCTTTCTTCCCTGGTGTAGATCGACCAGGGGTGTTCTCCACCACTGTGCTAAGAACAGTTGGATCTAACATCTGTGGATATTAGCTAAATGTATGGATAAACCTTTGATGCTGAAATAGTAAGGCCTACAAACTGTATAAGCAAAAAACAAGTAGGTGAAATTGTTGTGAATAAGCAGGTGAAATAGCAAAAAGTACTGTGTGTGTAGATCTCTTAGCTGAATGTAGTCTGAGGTTCAAACTGTTGAAATTTCCTTAAAGTTATGACTAAACAGTTGAAACAGCTGGAATGTACAATAACTTTTACTCTCACCTCTGTGTCAGCCCTGTGATGGACTGGCACCCTGTCCAGAGTGCACGCCATCTTTTGTCCAGTGTCACTTGGCATTGGCTCCAGCTTGCAGACAACCATCAAGGATAAGTGGTATAGTTAATGGATGGAATAGTTAGCTATAACTAATAAATAAACTGGTGAAATGGTTCCCTATAAGTGATGGATAAACAGTTGAAAATAACTTCAACAATTAAAATATCACAAAGCACTGGATAAGCATTTGACCTTTTTAACTAAAAGGTGGGTAAACGTAATTAAAAATAATGAATAAACATTTAAAATAGAGTAATGAATAACAGTAAAGCATAAACACTTGATATAATTCATCCAGTTCATAACAACATATTTGGATGGTGTTGATGAAGAGACACTTGAGCTCATCTGATAAAACCGGGTCCGACAATACAGGTTGCAAACCTTTGTTGTAAATAATAAGCTTAACAATCCCAGCACACTAAAACATGCCTGCTGCTGTTAGACTGTGTGAAGGTGACTATCACTGATATATAAAGGCAGAGTGTGAAATGCGTGTTTGTCCTGTTCCTGTATTGCACGTTGTTTGAAACATTGAGCTCTGAATTTATGTTCAATAACAGCACAAAGAGAGCTATACTTTCCCGCATGCAGCAATGAGAACACTGCAGCTACAAATTTCAGAGCTGATCCTCTGTCTCTTTATAGCAAAACCACCTACACTTGATGACTCAGTCTGTTTGCTTTTGCTTTAAGAACAGTTCAAGCATCTCAATTACTCAGCTTGTGGAGGATTTTTCGGATATGAATCTGACTGGGTGTTATGTAAACCACAGAGAAAAACAATTTTTGCTTTACAGAAAGGCCGTCCTCCTTCCTTTCTGATTTATTTGTCATTACATTTGAACATGTCTTTATTTGCAGTATGTACAGTACATGTTGCCTTCACACAAGACTGGAAAAAAATCCTGAAACATAAATGTAATTAAAAAAAAAGAGTCTTCTTTAATTAGCCTTAAGAGCACGACGAAGAATTACCACCCTGGCATTGAGGAATGCATTCAACAAATGTCTTTGTCAAGTGGATGTGTACATAAGCTCAAGAAATAAACAACAGCATTGAGATCCACACTGCACAATACCAGGTTGCCAAAGAAGCCAGATAAAAACACAGCATTTGAATGACACACTACACACACAATGCATGTTTATCATAATCGGTGATAACACTTTCTCCAAGGGATGACAGCGTACAGTCTTTCACTATAGTTGCCTTGATGGTCATAATGTATATGCTGACATGGAGTCAGGAGCTCATGAGTTACCATTGGGACATGGTCAAAGTGAGTCAGAGACTATAAGGCCAAACATATACAGTGTCATAACTAGTTTTCTAGATGACCAGAAACTCAGTTAAGTGAATTTAAGGCCTGTGACACAACAAGCTGACGCTCAGCCATTGGCCACTGTCGGGCTGTTGGTGAGTGTCCCTCTCCCTCGTCTTCACACTGTGTCCCACACTGTTGGCACTAGTCAGTCCCTGTCCACAGGAATTTGGCTGATTCAGCATGTTGAATTGGCGTTGGGCCTTGGCAGAGAAAGACACCTCTTTGATTGGCTGTTCAACTTAATGAATCAATGCACGAGATGGTTCAGGAAAGCCCCTTCAGCCTGTTACAGTAGTATCCGTGATTTCACTAATTTAGTGTGGTTTCTCTTTGTTTTTCTCCTCCACGACCTCCTTTCTTCTTCCACAACCCAAAGACCAAGGACAGAGAAAGGAAGTGCCATTTGCAACTTCTTATCAGACATGTAAACAGCAGCTGCGGTGAACGAGAGCTGCTTTGTTTACAGCTTGTATATCCACTGTCTAGCTCTTCTTCTTTCTCTTTCTGAATGGTGAGTACAGATTCTGCCACCTGCTGGTAAGAGGAGTTATTTCTCTCATGCAGGTGCAGAACATACAGCATGTGCCTGTCAGCTGTTGGCTGTAGTCCAGGTGGTATGTTCAAGTGCCACTTTTTTGACCCGAGTGGCCTAGACAAAGGCGACATGAGGTAAAATAGCCTGTGTCACCGCTAGTTCTTGGTGTGTCTCTGCCCTTAGGGCTTTAAACAAATACCTAGATATCAATCCAAATTCAGCCCAGCATGGTCTTTTACTTTATGACTACATTTAATCAAACAATGGCTAGATGTTTACTCATACAGGCCAAAAATAAAATTCAAGATAACGTTGAAGTCTTAGCCGCAGCCTTTATTTTTAGCTGAGTACACTGTGGAAACCTCCCTTGAAGAATATGGGCAACATTCACTCTTCATTAGCACAACAGAACTGTGTTCATTTCAGAATGTTCACATAGCTGAGGATGTGTAAATGGATTGTTTACTTGCAGATTCTGACAGCAAACAGTGATGCCAAAAGTGGCTTATTAGTGGAATTAATGTGGTAGTGCTATTTTAGGGCTATGCTCCAGAGACTACACATTCCTTCAGAAAAATCCATTACAGGGAGCTAATTGTGCACCATAAATGTCAGGTATGACTAATGCAGGACCTGTGCAGGGAAAACTAAGTATGTAATGTCTCCTCTTGAGGCGTCACTGCTTCAGCTAGCATCTGTCTGGCTTGTATTCTGTAAAAAACAAAAAAACAAAACAAAAAAACAACTAAAATCGTAGTAATTAATAAGCCCTTCATACAGTGAATTTGTCAGTTCAACTTGAGTTGAAATTCTTGAAATCATGTGAAGAAACAAACTGAAATATCTAAATGCTTTTTTGCAATGAAATGGGCTCTGTTTTCATAGCTGAATTCAGAAAAGTGGGTTAAAGTACTGCACAAAATATGAGCCCCTTCATAGCCTTATCAATTTAAATTTTAAGCTTTTTTATGGTCTGACAAAAAGTTCTGAATCCAATCAATCATGTGTAGCAGCATACTGCTGCCACAGCTGGAGCCATGCAAAGAATAACTGATCACAGCTGCTGTCAGACTGGGTCACTTTGTTTATATGTGCAGCCCTGGATGATATGTAAGGCCTGCCGTTTAATGACTATATCTAGCTGATTTATAACCTCCTTGTCCACCGTGCATGGCTGATACTTAATTTCACATTGTGTGACCAGCTGCAGTGTTTTTGGGCGACACTCTTTTCTGACCATCTGGATGCCCCACATCTGTTCTTCACTTCAAAAGCTATTAAATGAACAATCCTTAAAGTGAGATTAATCAAGGTGCTTTGTGATAGCAGGGAACCCAAAGACAAACAAAAACACAGCATGTTTGCATGTATGTAGGCAAACTATATTTGGCATGAGCAGACTTTGTTAGATTTCAGGGCATGCTTTTGATGAATGGACATGTTCTCAGTAAGAAAACAAAATACAGGTCTCAAGCTCCACTTTTGTACTTCATACCAGTGCATATTGATCACTGGCGAAGAAAACAGCCTTTGTTCCTGATCATATTTGATCATTTTTTTATTCTTTATTGATGGAAATGATTTGCAGTAGTTCTGTATTTGTTTTCTAAAGTCTTTCCCAGAAATAAAAGCCCTCCTTTGTCACGATTTAACAAACACGTGATCATGCATTTTCATCATTTTTGAGGTAAACACAAAAGCAGTCATGGTTTTTTTTTTGAGTTAGTGGAGCAAATAACGAACAGAGAAAGTCCTGGGTGGCAAACGAAGATGACAGGTGACAGCAGCTCAAATAACAACAACACTGAGTTGGTTTCAGAGTGATTCTGTGTCAAATTCTAACCCTCCCCGACCTCTGCTCTTTAGTAGTTCAAGCAGTTATAGTCTTAGTCTTTCCTCCTCAAAGTTTCTTTCTCACAGTAGATGTTAAAAACCAGCCAAAAATGGATGAAGTAAATATGAGTTTAAGTCAATGAGATGCAAACTGTGCTCCAACACTGGAATACTTCCAATACTCAAAAACAAAAAAACAACTTTGTCTATCCCCAATTCCCGCTCTTCTCACCCTCAAGCTTGACCTCTTTCTAGTCACTGCAGCTAATCTTGGCTGATGGAGGACCTGGAGGGAGAGAAGACAGGAAAAAAAGGAGGTGGAGGGAAAAAACTGTACATCTAAAAAAAAAAAAGAACTTTCTTCCAAGTCTGAGAGAGCAATGCTGTTTCCCAGGGGGGGTTGTTGTCTTCATGGGCTCCCTGGAGGTATGTGTTTGGAGGGAGGGTGTGTCGGCTATATGTGCCCTGGTTTAGAAAGGTAGGCGATGAGAGCTACCACCACCCCAACATACACACCGGTGCCTATAGTGATGGAGAGGGCAGCGAGAAACAAAGCCCGTCGGGAAGCGATGTTGGCCAGAGGGAAGTCGCCTTTGTTCACTGCCTTGGTGGTCTAGAAAAGAAGAAATGTAAGGAAAGAAGAAAGTCAGATACAGTTCAGAGGGTCCTCAGGAGGAAGAGCGACCCATTTTTTCAGAAGAGCCATTGCAAAAACTGTTTCTTATTTCTGTGGTTGTGTGGAGAAAAATAAGGGAATGAAACAGGGGATAGGCCCATGGACTGAGTGGCTCAGAATAACCCAGCAGAGCTCGTAGTGCATGGCGGGACAAAAAAATGGCAATTAGAGTGAAAATGCAAAGCACTGGAAGTGATGGCCACCCCAGCTGCTAGCAGTGAATGATAAATGACACATGAGAAACACAGATTATCATAATTTGTCATTAAATTAAAACAAAAACTCAACAGAGGATTTTTAAAGAGATCAAACTAGCTTAAAAATATATTTTTACAGTATTGTTTGAAAGAAAAACAATCAAAGGACAAATACTGTGCATTATTTAGTAAAAAAAAAAAGTGAAAAAGCTGGTTCTTTATGCATCGTCATCGCTTTGCTGTGTGGAGTTTTTTCTTTTCCAGCTTACATCCTCCATTGCCATGATTTAGTAACGAAGAATTTAAGGTTATAGTGCACTTTTACAGCCCACTATAGGCAAATAGATCCTGTCTGTAGTGTTGTGTTAACCGTTCTGCTGTTTGTTTTAAGTATTGTTGTAGTGTGAGTAACTGACCACAGCATAAAATAACTGAAATCTTTTTGTCAAACAACATCCAGACACAAATATTACACTTTTATCCCTCATTCAAGCAGCGGCCCTAAAATGGACTATTGACAGTCTGCATGAAATACACTGATGTTCCAATTGTTCTGGCTTTAAAATAAAATATAATAAAATAAAAAACTTGAAGTTGTTTTTATGCGAGCTGTATGAACTAAAATAAATCTCATTTAAAGAACAAGTGACCTGGGCTCACCAACAACACCAGAGTCACTCTTGTTTTCCTTCTAGTCTCATTATGTTAGTGTCCCTTTGCTCTCTGACCATTTAATACTTTATTACAGTATATCATGTAACAGTTATTTGTAATGAATTAATGGATCATTAATATCTTTGTTTAATAAAACAAAATTGTTCAGTATGTAAATGGTTTATTCATGACAACAAAACTAGCATTCAGTCCAAATAGTCCAGAAAAAATAAAACCCGTTTTGTTAATAATTTACTACCTAAAGCATTTATAATTTTTTTATCTTCTTTCAGCTGCTCCTGTTAGGGGTCATCGCAGCGTAATCATCCATCTCCATAGATATGGAAGTTTATTAAATCAGCATATGTGATTTGGCACAGGTTTCCCACTGGATGCAAAGTCTGATGCAACCCTCCCATTTTATCCGGGCTTGGGACCAGCACTAAGAACGCACTGGCTCGTACAACCCCAGTAACTGGGTGTGGTACATTGACCAAGAAGCAAACCTGAGCTGTGCATGTAGCAGGCAGGAACCCTGTCTCTTGATCACAATGCACCCCTGAAGTATTTATGAATAATAAATAAATTATTTAAAGCTGTATTAGAGGGCTGCACTCAACAACAACACACTGCTGTGGCTGAAAATAACAGAGATCAAACTGAAACTGAGTGAGAGTGAAACAGTAACGTCGCAAGGCGGTAAAACCAAAACAATGAGCTGAAAAACCCCACAGAGCTCTCCGGAATTGTCACTATGAGTGATCCTTTTCACATTACATTATTAGTGATTAGATCCATTACTAATGTAAATGTTGATTATAGCAGCTTTAAACAATTTACCTAAAAAGTTCTTTGTAAATAATAATTAATAAGGTGGAACTGGTGTTTATTAGTTTGGTCAGTATTTAAAACTATTAATGGCAGTAAATACAGCATCCCTGGGAGCCCCTAGTAAAGAATGAAAAGGTGTAAACCCTGCCCCACTAGACGGACAACATCACATATTTAACTGATTCTAAAGAGGTTCTTGCTTCTTGTACATTCCACTCTCCACTGGATACCTGATGTGAATACTTTACAGAAAAATACAACAATGAATAGATGTTGAATAGTGGTTTATCTTGTCTCCCCTGCCCGTTGTTGATGCATTTCGAGACATGCCTGTGCTGGGTGTCCTCCAGCTTCCGTTGCCTTTGAATGGACGTGCTTGCCAGGAGGGAAATGGAGGGAAGAGAGATGCTTATTGTGATTTGTTGTTTTCATTCACATCACTGAATAGAGGCCAGCGCTAAAGCAGACATTACACACAGACAACAGTGGAAAACATTAGTGTTTGGACTTTGTATTGGCTTTTTCATTTTCTATCTCCACCGTCCTCCCCTAACCTCACTTGTTTTTTTTTTTCCAAATGCTGCCACATCTATTAATTAGTTTTTCTCCTTAGTGAGATTCAGTAGTGTCAACAGTCGAGCATGTTGCTGAATCATAACCATAATATATTCTGCCTGTAACACAAAGCACTGGTCAGACTATGCCAGCACCTCTTTGATATGTAGTGTGAGTGTGTGAGTGACCTTCATTATTTGTGTGATAATGACGGAGCTGATGAATGATGTGTGTGAATATGATGAAGCTGGCATCAGGCTCTTTTCCTTCAACTGTGAGGCCACGGTCCTCTCTTATAATAACCTGTCCTGTTCATTTTGGAAGTGAGCTGCAACTCCAAGCAAGACAAGGTTACAGTTCTTATTCACATCTGAGGTTAAGGGGGACTGTGACTCCTAGTATGATGTAATGTCTGCACTGAAGTGGACTTTGTATCTGACAGTGGTAACGGATTGAAACCTAAACACCAATGCAAGGCTCTGTTTAAATACTTGTTTTGACTGTGACTTTGCTCACAGACTTGCAGATTGTGGATCAAAAGGGCTCAAATGAAGTTTCTTTGCAGGATGCCCCACCTTATTTATTATAACAGAACGAGAGTCTCAAAAAATCAGTGAGTATTTTACAACTGAGCAAATGCTTGTCCTCACTGAGAGGAGATGGCTATTGGAAAGCAAATATCAATCATCTCTATGCAGTTAACCAAACAGGAATGTTAACAGGCTAGATGTGAATCTGAATTTTAGTTTTTTTTTAAGATTTGAAAACAGTTCTGAGGTATCTGTACTTTACTTTTCATTTTCTGCTGCTCTGTAATTTCACTTCACTACATTTTAGAGCCAAATATTGTACTTTTTACTCCACTACATTCATTTGGTAACATAGTTAAAATAGCTCGACCTTTACCATCTGTAACATTCAATGTGAGTGCTTCTTCCACCACTGGAAAATGATAATAACAGGCTAGATGTCAATAATATAAGAATTATATAACAAAGATGGCATATTTATTACTGCAAAACAATGCTAAGTTAAGTAAATGCAGCACAGACAATTACTATGGCATCATGACTATTATCTGTCCTTAAAATGGCTACTTGCACATTTCAAGCAGCTTGTTTGCTGTAGAGGAATGAAACACAAATTCTTGATTATGATGTTTGCATTTCATCATGTGAAAGTTGTCTTTAAGGTACAAAGACATTTTTGAGATCTTTGTAAAAGGGCAGCCAGTACTATCCCACTACTCTTGCACTGTTTAACAGTCAGTGATCTCTGTGGTTGAATTTTGTCCTTATGAACCAGTAAATGTTGCACCTTTATCGACACCCGCTTTATCATCTGAATAATAAATAACTAATCAATATAAAAAAACTCCATTTACCATTTCCCAGTTGTGGTTGTTACTGCTGGAAAAAAAAACAATGCTTGGCATCTTTCCACTGTGTGCGCACGTGTTTCAAAAGGATTTTAAAGACAGTGGTTAATAGTTCAAGACAAAGGCAGCAACAGAGAGACATAGAAAAAAAGCTCTTTAGCCAAATGTCTTCCCTCGAAAGGTCAGAAAGCAAATCTAGACAAAGGGTGTGCATTCAAGGCATGGCCTTTAGCTTCCATGTCAATACAGTAATTATTGAAACAAAAGCACCATTATGGAGCTTTATGGGAAATTAGATGTGACTTTGCTTTCAAAACAAGACAAAGCACTTTGTCCTTTTCAGGATGTATTACTTCACCCTCCTCCCAGCAAGGTCTTTTGGGAGGGAGACTCCTTAAAGGAGTCATAATGTGTCAGTGGACATTTTAATTCTCTCCACCACTGCAGGAATTGAAGGGCACGTGCTTGTTATAGTGAAAGCATTTCTTAAACACTGTAATTGATTTAAGGACCTTTTGCTCCACTTCACACAAGCATTCAAGTCAAAGCATGATGTAGCTGAGAAAAATGAAAGCCTGTGCTGTAATCTGGACGAAAAAGCTGAGAGTAACTGGTTGGATGCATGTGCCTACTTATGCTCTCCTCTTTCTGAGCATTAGGTCTGAATATCACCGTACAAATGTTGGTGCGAGCATTTTTCCTTGAATCCCCTTGAGAGGGAAATGGTTAGAAGCATTAAGGCTTTATCTCCACTACCTTGGCAAAATGATTGAAATGTGGTGAAATAAAGATAACATCTCAGACTTAGCTGCATGCAGACTGTGATGCTCTCTTGGAAGTCAATTCAGGTTTTCTTCCAAATAATCAACACAAAAAGCTTAAAATCTCACTCCCTCTCTCTCTGTGTCTGTCTCGACCTCCCTCATGCAGACACACACGCAAATACATACACTGTTTCTGAGTAATTACCTCGTTCATTTTCATCCATTATGATGACTTGTATGCTGTGCAGGGGAGTCATATTTGCATAGCCGTGAAAGGAATGGCTGCCGCTTCTCAACTTTGCACTTTCCAGTGCAGATGTCTCAGAGCTGAGAGAAACATTTATCAGCATCTCCAAACAAAATACTCACCCTATTAGTGCCAATAATTGAAACTCAATTCCGTTTTCTAATCAAAGGCTCAAAGCTAATTTTCTCCCAGATATTCATGGTATTCTAGTGATTATCAGTCGTGTATGTGTGTAGGCGGTTAATGCTGCCTCCTGAGCCGTGAGGCGCTATTTACATTAACGAGGTTCCACAGAATGAAAGATGTAGTTTTTGGCAAATAGGATACAAACGATTTAAAGTAGCATATTAATGCATGCTTGTTTCTCTGTGTGTTTGTTGATGCCCTCGCTCAATTCCTCTCCTCGAGAAGCCATGCCATACTCCTTCTGTCTGACCAGGCCTGACCTTCCAGTGGGACAAAAACATTATTGATCTGCCATCCACAAACTCTATTACAGTTTCTAAATTGTTTGCCTGTAAATGTCCTCAGAGTAAGATGTGCTCCATTCTAAACCTTTCTTCCTGGCTCATTCTGCTACACTTGTTAAATCCCAGAATGCATCTAAGGAAGAGAGTGAGTCACCAATCACAAGGTGTCTCTTTTTACATTCTGTTTTCTAGATTTGAAAATGGCCACATTACTCTGCTCAAAGTTGCTAGTTAATGTTGTGTTTTTGTCTGGTAAAAATCTAGCGTGACATTCATTCTCAATATGTGCTAGGTGTCAAAGAAATACTATGCTAATTTACCTTCAAAATGAGAACCGGTTGTTACGTGACATGCGGCTGATATTAGCCAGATGGAAAAGTTATGTTAGCCCTATAAAACCATGCAAAACAGACTATGAAATGCAGCAAAAAGCATAAACATCTCTTGTGTTGTTGGTGTTAGCGATTGAATAGTATAAACACGTAAAAAAAAATTATGCAATGTCTTTTACCTCCTTCCCACTAAGGATAAAAACATAACCTGTATGGTTACTTCACTGGCAGACATAAAATCACCATATACAACATGTCAGTTTTTACCAGCACTTTACCTGATGTTAGTCAGTGACTAGGTACCATCTAATGGGACTATGCTTAAATAGCATTGCTTTTCTCTTCATAATGACGTGGGTTTAACTACTGCCTTAGTCATGTCATCAAAAAGTACTTTTTCAATTAAAGGACACAGTGGGTGTGTGGGTAAATTTAGCTTCAGCTAAGGCCACTGTGACTGTGGTTTCCTGACTACATAGCTTTACCTTGTTCTTGGTTTAGCTGTAATTCCTGCCAATTGTACATACTGTTTGTTCAGAAGTTATACATTACTCAGGCATAACATTTTTATGAGGTAAAATACGTGACACACAATCAAATTCTGGTCATATGATGACCAATACTGCATTTTGGCTTTGTATGTCGGTACAGATGCCTACACTCATCTCTAAACACAGAGGCATGAAAGTTCACACAAATAATCAAATTCCAGCTAAAAACTTACAATGTCCTTGTGTTAACTCCTGCAAAATGAATTAATTTAATTGGGGGACCTCTTGAACAACTGGATGAAATAAAGACAGGTGAAGTAGATTACTGAGCTATAAAATGAAGTAATCCCAGACTCCAACCATATCTTTTCCTGATGGCTCTTATGCAAGATATCTTCTAAAGGAGGGAGATTGGCAGAAAAGCCATCCACCTAAAACACAGCCATCACTTCCCCATAATTACCCAGGAAGAATCAAATTAGCTCCTGACAAGATAATTCACTGACTGGCTTCATCTGCCCTGGACTACTCACTGCTGCAGATAAGAAAGCTAAATGCTTCAGCTTTCGATAAGAATTTATAGTCAAAGGCAGAGCAATTTACTGAAAAGCTTGTCTGTCTCTAGTGTGTGTGTGTGTGTGTGTGTGTGTATACTGTGTCTGTTTGCATGTACTTTTAAACTTACACTATATATTTGTGTGTGTTACAGACACACACAGACATTTTTTTCCATATTTTCCTTTTCATGTTGGTGCATGTAGAGTAAGAGAGGCAGAATTGATTGGCAGCAAGACAAATGGTGATTCCTGTGCCCTTTGTTTGAGTGATGCCCAATCACTGCAGTTGGTTCCTACAGAGTTGAAAAGATGCAGGAGATGCAGGAGATCTAGTTGGAGTCCTTTAGATAATCATTATGTTTACTTTGATGATGTTAATGGCTATGAACATAGTGGCAAAAGCTTCAAAAACTACTACAATACCTTGTCCTAGCAGGGCGGCACAGCAGCGCAGTGGTTAGCGCCATTGTTCCACAGGAAGAAGGTGTGAATGTCTATGGTTTTCAGTCTACATGTCAGCCCTGTGATAGACTGGCGTCCTGTCCAGGGTGTACCCTGCCTCTTGCCCAATGTCAGCTGGGCTAGGCTCCAGCCCCCCATGACCCTATTCAGGAATAAGCGGCATAGATAAACGAATGGATTCACAAGCAGCCTTGTCATAATTTTCTTGTTCTGTCTGGAAACAAGTCCTGTTGGTATAATTTGATGTACTGTGCATTACACATCAATTGTAATAATATGGCTTCATCTTTACATCAAAGTCAAATAATAGCCTCCTCTACACTGCCCATTCCATGCAGGGGTTTTCTGCCTTTTCTTTATTAAAGGTACAGTACCAGCATGGTGGATCAATGTTGACCCTCCAAAATGTTGCAGGCAGGTTTTTTGCCAATACAAGTTTTCTCCACCTCCTGTATAAAGGGAACAAGGCAGAATAGAAGGTTGCAGACCTATGTGAGAGAGAGAAAGCCAGGGAGTGAATAAGGCAAGAGGGCAGGATAAGCAAGACCAAAGTGAGAGGTTTAAAATGTTATTTTGTACTTGTTTCATGGTGATTATGCTCTAAAGCATGAATAAACACAGCCACACCTCTGCACAGCCCTGTGGGAAGGATTTTGTGTGGATGTATGTCCTGCAGTGCGCAGTTTGTGTGTGTGTGTAGCCTTGCCCTCAAACAGGCACACGGACATGAAATTGGACCCACATACTAGGCTACTGAAATTCCTGATTTCAGTTATCAAACAAAATCAAATAACAGAAGGTTTGTTTTGTTTTAAATTTGACCATGAAGTGCATAGACCATCAGACACCATGATAAGCACGTAGTTGTATAAACCAAACACAGGAGCAGCAGTTTTCTGGCTTTTTTAAGTTCCATGTAAATAAATAAAATACCTTGAAGAAGCATCAAAACACCAGCAGATTAAACCTAGTTTTTAGTGTGTCTTCATGCACGTTTTCTTCTGCTTTCTGAACCACAGCTCAAACAAGGCTGTTTAATGTGTCTGAGAGCTCATCACCTTTACTACATCGCACACCTGTAATTGGTTTCATCTTCAGTCCCCTTGAAAACTCCACTAGTTCAAAGGCCCTCTCTCTCATCTTAGTATTTAGAACACCTCCTTCCTTGGAGTTTCTCAGAGAGAACCTTGAAAGTGATTTATAAACTCTTCCTAAAGGCAGCTTTCAGCCTGTTTATAGAGCATCAGGCACAAGCAGCCATTACAGATTGGCCTTGAGTTATTGATGGGTAGCTCAGTAAAAAGTGGCCTTGCGTTGGCAGTAAGAGAGTCATCTGGCAGTACTTTTTTAGGTGTGGTGACCCTTAAAGTTTTGGTGATGAGTCTTACATAGAGGTGGTTATGTCCATGTGTGTTTGTGTGAGCACATGTCTATTAATTTCTTAAATATGTGTCTGGGTGAGTGGGTAGATGTGTCTGTTTTCTGTTAAACCTCAACAAACAGATGCTGCATCATTCATGTGTGACAGGCCACAGTTTTGGAGGTGTTTGCATGGTATGCATGTGTTAATGTCTGTGTGTGTGTGCATGTGCATGCCTGGTATTGCTCACATTGTGGGGATTGAGCCGTCCTGGTGGCTGATCCCCATCATGTAAACATTGCATTTTACTGTAGGGTGATGCCTTTGTTTAAGGTTAGGGTTTGGTTACAGTTAAGTTAAAAAACAGGTGTGTAAATCACAAGTTTTATCATAACACAATTCACATAGAAAGCATTTTAGAAGTGTTTTTGAAGGCCGTCACTCAACCGTCTCATGCAACAGACAGAACTCCATCTATTCATCCATTATCTATACCATTTATCCTGAAGAGGGTCGCGGGGGGTGCAGGAGCCAAGCCCAGCTCACATTGGGCAAGAGGTGGGGTGCACCCTGGACAGGTCACCAGTCTACCACAGGGCGGGGGCAATTTAAATGCACCACATATATTCACACCAAACGCAACATGTTTATGGAATGTAAAGTTCTAAAAGATCACACTACAAAAGTCCACATCAGGTGATGATGACCTGATGCTGGTTCTGCCAAATACAAGGAGTACATCCTATATTGATAAAAGGCAACTTGGAAAGTTTCACTGCTTGGTGCAGGGGTTCAAACTGTACCATGGTTGTTTTTGGTCCTACTCCAAGATGTCCCTGGGACAATTTGAGGAGTTGCTGCTGCTGTCACAGCACTTTAAGAGGCGTTGGAATGATTGCAATGCCTCAGTTGACCTGGAATTGTGCCTGGCCGTCTGTTTGAGGTAAAATATATACTGAACATGATTTTAATAAATGAATCAGATAGGTTTAGCTGACTGGGGCACTATGCCCTTATGGTAACAGTGTTGCTATGTTCCAGCAAGCTGCATTGTGATTGGGCACATGTTACTGTCACTAGCAAAAAGTTGAAATAAATCGACCTTGGGGCGGAAAAGAAAATGTTGCTTTTCATTCGGAGATATTCTGTTGTTGATATACAGTGTGTATGAAGGCCACGATATGCTAACCCCTGGACATAGGAATAAAGCTTAACCTGTCACGCTAAGGTGGCATAGTTGAAACATATTAAAGTTCACTGACAGAATATTGGTACATAAATTATTACGGACATGCAAAAAGAATATATGAAAAATATGCCTTCAGTGTGAAAAGACCTTAAGTGTGGAGAGTGTTACAATGACTCAGACATGGGCATGTGAATATTGTTTTAATACAATTTGAAAAATCCCAAACCAATCCTTTAAGGTTAGGATTAGATTAGACAAGTAGCAGTTATGGTCATGGGTAGGGCAACTGTGCAGGAAATGAAATTAAGTCAATGTAAAGTCTCCACAAAGGATGAAAACATGTGTGTGTGTGTGTGTGTGTGTGTGTGACCTTACCCCCTGTGAGAAGTAAAAGGCTGCAATCCCCAGAGGCCAGAAACAGCAGAGCATGGAGAAGATGGCCAGACCCAGGTGGTCTCGTGGAGGGACGACTATGAAGTTGTCCTCGCTCTCGCTGTCACTGGAGCAGTCTGTCTGCAGAGAGAACAGCAACTATATTCAAACCATACTCTCATGCTGTGCCCTGTAAATGGAAAAATGTTACATGAGTAATATGACATTACATAACATGGTCACAGTAAACACAGAGGTGGGTCCAGTAGAGCTACCGTATGTTAAAAAATAATGTCTGCTTATTGTCAAGAGTTAGATGAGAAGACTGATGACACTCTTATACTGTATTTAGAATGTAAAGAGTTTATAATTATTTGTTGGCCACATGGGGGGAGGAGAAGCAAGAACTGAGCACAACAATAACACATCACCACTTTTTTAAGTTGATATGTCAGACCTGTTAGCAAGAAGTTGCTTATTTACACATCCAGCAGTGCAGTTATGGAGCAACATAAACATTCATTTGGAGTTGCGTTTCTTGCACCCATATGTAATTATGCAAAGCAACTTCAATATTCACTCCTTTTTTGCTCAGCTTTTGAGCTCTACCAGCTTTCTAACAATATTTGGCTCACTGGCTGCTAAATGCCCCACTATGTTCAACAGTTAGTTGCTAAATATGTCAGTCTGATGTTGAGCAGGCAGTGCAAGGTGACATTTCAGAGGTTATGGCTTAAATAACTTTGTCTACGTTGAACCACCCCTGAAATAAATTCTAGGCCATGCATCTGGAATACCCTAATCATAATCAAACATACACACATTCACACCCAGAAGCTGCACAGTGCAACCACAGTCCGACCTGCTGGTGACTGAGCATCCTCAGTGGAGCAGCTGAGGTTAAGGCCTTACTTAAGACACCAAACACTACAGTGTGAAAAATATGCCTTTTCACCTGCCACACCCAAATTTAATCCTACTGGTCTGGGAATTGAACTGGAAACTCTCTGGCGACAAGCTCTTAAGCCACCTAACGATTTCAGAGGCAGATTTTAAAGATGAAAGAAAAAAATGTTTGCTTTGGTAGCACAACAGTCTGTGTACAGGCAGATTGTATCAGTAGAGAAAGATTCTGCCTTCACTGAACAAAAAAGACATTTGTGTAATGGGAAACAAAATGCAGATGAGTCACCACTTGCAGGATCATTTGCCTCCATGTAATGTCACAGCTCACATTCAAGGACTTTTTGTGACAGCCCAGTAGTTTCTCATTAGTTTTGAGATATGCAGATTTCTACATTTTGGCATCTAAACAACAGATGGCATTTAAAACAAAAGGAATATCTGAAAGTACTTTTCATTTCAGATAAGAACTGCTTATGAATCCAACACACCCCCTCGCTACCGCTCTATAAAGCGATTTCACGCTCCGTGCAATGTTCCTCACATGGAACGACAACGCCTTCAGTAGAAAAGAAGAGATGCTCAAACATCTGCAATAGTGTTTAGGGGATCAGAAACTCTCAGTCCTGATCCACAGGTACATTATCTCCACTTAAGCCTCTAGCATACAGTGGGTATGGAAAGTACTCAGACCCCCTTAAATTTTTCACTCTTTGTTATATTGCAGCCATATGCTAAAATCATTTAAGTTCATTTTTTTCCTCATTAATGTACACACAGCACCCCATATTGACAGAAAAACACAGAATTTTTAACATTTTTGCAGATTTATTAAAAAAGAAAAACTGATTTTATAACATGGAAAAAGTATTCAGACCCTTTGCTGTGACACTCATATATTTAACTTAGGCTCTGTCCATTTCATCTGATCATCCCTGAGATGGTTCTACTCCTTCATTTGAGTCCAGCTGTGTTTGATTATACTGATTGGACGTGATTAGGAAAGCCACACACCTGTCTATATAAGACCCTACAGCTCACAGTGCATGTCAGAGCAAATGAGAATCATGAGGTCAAAGGAACTGCCTGAAGAGCTCAGAGACAGAATTGTGGCAAAGCACAGATCTGGCCAAGGTTACAAAAAAATTTCTGCTGCACTTAAGATTCC